CCCCAAAAAAAGGACTTTATTTTATTTTTGGGTCCGGTTGTGGGGCCTGAACTCTGGGCCTGGGCGCTGTCCCTCAGCTCTTCAGCTCAAGGCTAGCGCTCTACCACTTGAGCCACAGCACCACTTCCGGCTTTTTTCATTTTGCTTATGTGGTGCTGAGGAATCGAACCCAGGGCCCCAGGCATGCAAGGCAGGCCCTCTACCACTGAGCCATCTTCCCAGCCCCCCCCCCCAAAGGACTTTAAAGAAGAGGAATTGAAGTATTTTTGCTTGGCCCTGGTGGCTCACACCTGAAATCATACCTAAAATCTGAGGATTGCAGTTAAAAGCCAGACTGTGAAGAAACCATGAGATGCTCATCTTCAATTAACCAGCAGAAAACTGAAAGTGGTGCTGTGGCTCAAAGTGATAGAGTGCTCGCCTTGAGCAAAAGAGCTCAAGGACAGCGCCCAGGCCCCAAGTTCAGGCCCCACAACTGACCAAAAAAGAAAACAATATAACATGCCATCAACTTAAGTGGAGAAACCTGGCCTTTTTTTTTTCTTCTTTTTTTGTCAGTCATGGGGCTTGAACTCAGGGCCTGAGTGCTGTCCCTGAGCACCTCTTTTGTGCTCAAGGCTAGCACTCTACCACTTGAGCCACAGCTACTTTGGTTTTTTTAGTTTTTTTTTTTGGGGGGGGAGTTGGTCATGGGGCTTGAACTCTGGGCCTGGGCACTGTCCCTGTGCTCTTCAGCTCAAGGTGAGAGCTCTATCTCTTGAGCCACAGTGCCACTTCTGGTTTTCTAGTGGTTTATTGGAGATCAAGGTCTCACAGAATTTTCTGCTCTGGCTGGCTTTGAACAGTGATCCTCAGACCTCAGCCTCCTAGCGGATTACAGGCATGAGCCACCGGCGCCTGGCCCACATCTGGTTTTGAGTGGTTAACTGGGGATGAGTTTCACCAGTGGATGAGCCAGGCACCAGTGGCTCATGCCTATAATCCTAGCAACTAGGAGGCTGAAATCTGAGGATTGCAGTTCAAAGCCAGCCTGGGCAGGAAAGTCCTTGTGAGACTTTTTTTGGTTGGCCATGGGGCTTGAGCTCTGGACCAAGGTGCTGCCCCTCAGCTCTTCAGCTCAAGGCGAACGCTCTACCACTTGAGCCACAGCACTACTTCCAGTTTTCTGGTGGTTCACTGAAGTAAGAGTCTCAGGGATTTTTTCTGCCGGGCTAGCTTTGAACTGCGAACCTCAGGTCTCAGCCTGGGTAGCTAGGATGACAGGCGTGAGCCACCGGTGCCCAGCAGCCTTTGCCTTTAAATGGGAGCTTTATTGTGTGTAAAAGTATATTAGAAAAGAAATACAGCAGACACATGCTCTGGACACTCCGGCCTGAGATGTCAGACATCATGTGCCATCTCCCAAGAGCTGTGATTTTAACACTATTCTCCAGCAAACTTCATTTTGCAAAAAGCAGGGAAAATGTTCTGAAATGATACACAGATTTTTCTGATGTTGGAATGTCTCACCGTAAAGAAAAACTCAAGATCCTGGGAAAAAACCAAGGATCGTGGGAAACTTTTAGAAAAAGGATGCCTATGTAGAGTTAGGAAATTACAAGTAATTGCTTGGGTAAAGCAAAATTGCACAAGGCTGTAATTAGCACTCAGCCAACACCAGATTGCCACTTTAAGACCCAAGTACCACTTAAAAAACAACACAAAAGCACCTAGTGAAGGTGCTGTAGGTGGACTGGAAACTGGCTTATCTGGGGCCCTGGAGCCAGAGGCAGCAGGAAGGGCCCAGCAGGAGAGCAGACTCAGGCGCACAGGCTGGGCACGCGGGGAGAGCAGACACAGGCGCGCAGGCTGGGCACGCGGGGAGAGCAGACACAGGCGCGCAGGCTGGGCACGCGGGGAGAGCAGACACAGGCGCGCAGGCTGGGCACGCGGGGAGAGCAGACACAGGCGCGCAGGCTGGGCACGCGGGGAGAGCAGACACAGGCGCGCAGGCTGGGCACGCGGGGAGAGCAGACACAGGCGCGCAGGCTGGGCACGTGGGGCTCACAAGCTGCCAGGCTGCGCTGTGCTCCTGCTGTGTGTGGGATCCGCTAACATGTCTGCCACTGAAGCCACAACTGCCCCGCGTGCCCTGCACAGGAGTGTGTCCCCCGAGGAGGGTGGTGGCATGGGGGGGGGGCTCTAGCAGCTGGTGTCTGTCACTCCATAGCAGGAAGGGTTAAAGGGCACCGCCTGTCCTATTGGGTTAATGGCTAATGCCACTTGTACAAAGCTTGACCTTTGTGCTTACCCACAGCTCGTCATCACCCAGAACAAAGTTACTTTGCTGCTTTCAGCCATCTTTTTGCTAAGAAAGTGGGCAGTCGTCTTGACACTGGCCTGAGGGGCCATCAGCTTCCGGCCCTTCTAGGCCAAGGAAGAAAGGAAAATGGTCAGGCCAGGTTCCTCCTGCCAGGCCCCAAGCCATGGGCTGATAGGACAGGAGAACCGCTGAAGGCTGCTGCGAGGGGGAGGGTGACCACCTGCGCCTCTCCCAGCCCAGGAAGGCCTTAGAGCTCCCACAGCCCCACAGGGCCTCAGGGTGAAGGCTTGCAAAAGACTTACATCCGATGAAGCTGGGCAAACCTCGCTGCTTGGTCTGTGGGCACCCCACCCCAAGTCCCTAGGGCAGTATCTTCTGAAAGGGACCAGGGGAAGGCACCACTGGCACTGGGCAGCTCCATGGCTCTCAATCACCCAATATGGCCTGGCTTGCTCAGTCCCAAGGGCTGGTCACCTTGCTGCAGACCAAGTGACACCCTGGGGCTGGGAATGTGGCTTAGGGGTAGAGTGCTTGCTTAGCATGCACGAAGCCCTGGGTTCAATTCCTCGCTACCACATACACAAAAAAAAACTAGAAATGGTGCTGTGGCTCAAGTTAACCTTGTTGGGGCTGGGAAGGTGGCTCAGTGGTAGAGCACTTGCCTTGCATGCTCGAGGCCCTGGGTTCGATTCCTCAGCACCACATAAGCAAAAAGAAAAAAGCCGAAGTAGTGCTGTGTCTCCAGTGGTAGA